CAAACAATGATAACGATAATAATTTAATGATACATGGTGAGAATGATCATGATAATAATTATAATATAATAATAATATAATATAATAATATAATATAATAATAAATAATATAATAATAATAATAATAATAATGATAATAATAATAATAATAATTAATAATAATAATAATAATAATAATAATAATAATATAATGAAATGATAATGCATAGAATAATGATAATGATAATGAAAATAATAATGATAATAATAATAATATAATAAGTAATATATAATGATAATGTATTATTATCCTTATTGTCCATTATCATCATCATTGTTATTATTATCATCATCCTTATTATTATTATTACTATATTATCATTACTATTATTACATTATTACTATTACTATTACTATTACTACTGCTACTACTACTAAACTACTATAATTTTATAAAATTATTGATATTATTCATTATCATTATCATTATTATTATTATTATCGATTATATTATTCATTATTATTATATTTTATTATTGTAATCGTTATTATATATTATATCTTATTCAATTAATATCATTATTATCATAATAATAGACACACACCACATCTATATCATCACAGAATCTCGAGTTATATTGTGATACACACTGTGAGGTGATGTATCCAACAGATATATACACACACAATATATATATACCCCCCTCTATATATATATATATTACCACTTGCGCGAGAGAGAGTAGCGAGATGGTAAGGACGAGATCCACAGATATGATTTACCCCATTAAAATAGAATAATAGCAATAATATGATAGGAATAGCAATGGTAACGACAGTATTGAGAGAGCAAGTGACCACATGACATGATATTCCATTTAAGCCCCACGATTTAATCACTTATATGAGACGAAAGTGAGTTTGTAGAATGATATATACAATAAGTTAAAGTCATACAATATATTAGCAAAAAACATAAGACCAGAAATAGAGATGATAAGGGCGTCTTCTCACATAAGATAAAATATAGAGAGGAGGATAATAATAACATGCTGGATACAAAGATAATGATAATGATGAGCATAGACCCCACCTAATATTGGAGTAATCCATATGAATATATGATATAATAATAATTAATGATCAATGAAAAATATATAATGACTCACTAATATATAATGATAACAATAATGAATGAATAATATACATACTGATAAATAATAATAATATAAAATGATAATCGAGAAGAACAATGCACAGACCACACTGATAGTAAAATTAATAGGGATAAGTGATAATAATGAGAAAAATAGATAATGATAATGAATGATATGATCAATAGTGATGTAATAATGCAATATAACAGTATATGATAATGATTAACAATAAATGATAGATAATAATATGAAATGAATAATCATGATAAAATCAAATAGGTAATAATATGATACAGACAATAATGATAATTATAATAATAAAATAATAATAATAATAATAATATAAAAATAATAATAATAATAATAATAATAAGAATAAATAATATAAGAATAATGATAATAATAATAATAATAATAATAATAAAGATAATAATGAATAATAATCAATAATAATAATAATAATAATAAAATAATAATAATAATAATAATAAATAATAATAAAAGTAATAATAATATAATGAATAAGATAATGATATAAATGATAAATAATGATAATAATAAATACAACAATAATAAATAATAATTGTATACAAAATGATAATGATAATGCATATTAATGATGATAACTAATGATGATGGTAATAATAAATAATAATAATAATAATAATAATAATAATAAAATAATAATATAATAATAATAATAATAATGATAATGAATAATAATAATAATAATAATAATTAATAAAATAATAATAATAGTAATTATAATAATGAGATAATGATAGTAAAAGTAATACTAATAATAGCATTGATGTTGATAACAATGATAATAGAATTAATGATATAATAATAATGATATAATGATAATAGAATAATAGTAATGGAATGATGATGATGTGATAAAATTATAATCAATGATAATGAAAATGATAATTATGATACGATAATATTGTTATGATAAAAATAATATTGTTAACAATAATGATGATGATAATAATATAATGATAACAATAATAATGACAATAATGATAACAATAACAATGATGAATAATGATAATAACAATAACAATGATGATAAATAAGGATAACAATAATAGTGATAATAAAACTAATGGAATGATGATCATAAACATTATAATAGTAATATAATAACAACTAATAAAAAAACTAATAATGATAATAATGATGATAGTAATGATGATAAGATAACAAAGATAATTATATCAATGACAAAGATAACAATAGTGGAGATAATGATAATAATAATAATAACAATGAATG